AGGGGCAATGGGGCGTCCGGGGGGCGGGGTGTGTGTGGGGGGGGCACGCCATGGGGCAGGAGAAGGGTTCGGGGGGCACCCGAGCACCCGAGGGAGGGGGCAACAGGGTGTCTGAGGGGGCAACTGAACCCCCCGTGGGGCAACTGAACACCCCGTGGGGCAACTGAGCACCCCGTGGGGTCCTAAAGAGCCCCAGGGGGGCAACAGGACACCCAAGGGGGGGGCAACAGGGCAACCAAGGGGGCAAATGGGCACCCAAGTGGGCAACTGAGCACCCCTTGGGGCAGTAGAACAGTTCATGGGGCAAGAGGGCACCTGAGGGGGCAACAGGGCACCCAGAGGGGCCCTAAAGCACCCCATGGGGCAGTAGGGCACCTGAGGGGGCAACTGGGCACCTGAGGGGGCAGCTGGGCACCCCATGGGGCAGTAGAACAGTTCATGGGGCAAGAGGGCACCTGAGGGGGCAACAGGGCACCCAGAGGGGCCCTAAAGCCCCCCATGTGTCAGTAAAACAGTTGATGGGGCAACAGGGCACCTGAGGGGGCAACAGGGCACCCCATGGGGCAGTAGAACAGTTCAGGGGGCAACAGGGCACCCAGAGAGGCCTAAAGCCCCCCATGGGTCAGCGGAACAGTTGATGGGGCAACAGGGCACCTGAGGGGGCAACAGGGCACCCCATGGGGCAGTAGAACGGTTCATGGGGCAACTGGGCACCCAGAGAGGCCCTAAAGTACCCCATGGTTCAGCGGAACAGTTGATGGGGCAAGAAGGCACCCGAGGGGGCAACTGGGCACCCAGGCGGGCCACTGGGCACGCCATGGGGCAGTAGGGCACCTGAGGGAGCAAGAGGGCACCTGAGGGGGCAACAGGGCATCCCATGGGGCAGTAGAACAGTTCATGGGGCAACAGGACACCCAGAAAGGCCCTAAAGCCCCCCATGTGTCAGCAGAACAGTTGATGGGGCAACAGGGCACCTGAGCGGCCAACTGGGCATCCCATGGGGCAGTAGGGCACCTGAGGGAGCAAGAGGGCACCTGAGGGGGCAACTGGGCACCCAGGCAGGCCACTGGGTACCCCATGGGGCAATAGGGCACCTGAGGGGGCAACAGGGCACCTGAGGGGGCAACTGGGCACCCAGGCAGGCCACTGGGTACCCCATGGGGCAATAGGGCACCTGAGGGGGCAACAGGGCACCCCATGGGGCAGTAGAACGGTTCAGGGGGCAACTGGGCACCCAGAGGGGCCCTAAAGTACCCCATGGTTCAGCGGAACAGTTGATGGGGCAACAAGGCACTCCATGGGGCATCAGGGCACCCAGGTGGGCAACTGGGCACGCCATGGGGCAGTAGAACAGTTCATGGGGTAACAGGGCAGCTGTGGGGGCAACTGGGCACCCCATGGGGCAGTAGGGCACCTGAGGGAGCAACAGGGCACCTGAGGGGGCAACAGGGCACCCCATGGGGCAGTAGAACGGTTCAGGGGGCAAGAGGACACCCAGAAAGGCCCTAAAGCCAGTTGATGGGGCAACAAGGCACTCCATGGGGCATCAGGGCGCCCAAAGGGGCATCAGGGCGCCCAAAGGGGCATCAAGTGGCTGCCCCCGCCCCGCGTGACGGCCGTGTCCCCCCCCCGCAGGCCGGTGGCGGGGAGGATGGCGGGGGAGGGCTGCCGGGTGCAGATCTCCTTCCCCCAGCACGCGGCGGCCCTGCTGGACTCCCTCAACCGCCTGCGCCTGGAGGGGAAGTTCTGCGACGTGGCCGTCCACGTCGGGGGCCGCGTCTTCCCGGCCCACAAGAGCGTCCTGGCGGCCGCCTCCCCCTTCTTCCACGACAAGCTGCTGCTCCAGGATGGGGGGCGCCTGCTGCTGCCCCCCGCCATCGACCCCGACGCCTTCGAGGGGCTCCTGCATCTCATCTACTCAGGGCGCTTGACGTTGCTGTTGGAGGCCCTGCCCGGTCATCTCTTGGTGGCCAGCGGTCTCCAGATGTGGCACGTGGTGGATCAGTGCTCGGAGATCCTGAGGGAGTTGGAGGGGGGGCTGTGCCGGTGGGCCGGGCAGGGCAGCGAGGTGACCTCATCATCGTCATCGAGCGGCTGCGGCGGTGAGGGGTCATCATCGTGGACCGCCCGTGGTGGAGATGGGTCTTCCTGTGCCACCCATGGGGGAGACGGAGCGTCATCGTGGGCCACCCGTGGTGATGGGTCTTCGTGTACCAGCCGTGGGGGAGATGGAGGATCAGCGTGGAGCACCCGCGGTGGAGATGGGTCATCATGTCCCACCCGCGGTGGAGATGGGTCATCGTGTCCCACCCGCGGTGGGGATGGAGCGTCATCGTGGCCCACCCGTGGTGGGGATGGGTCTTCATCGTCCTCGTGGACCACGCGTGGTGGCGATGGCTCATCATGTCCCACCCGCAGTGGTGATGGAGCATCCTCCTGGTCCACCCGTGGTGGCGATGGCTCTTCATCATCGTCATGGCCCGCACGTGGTGGCGATGGCTCTTCGTGGGCCACCTGTGGTGGTGAGGCGGCGACGCCATCTTTCACCAAGGAGGGAGGTGAGGAGGTCCTCAAAATCCGCGTGGCCACTGACGTGGCACCAGCGGCCACATCGTCCCTGAGCTCCCTCCTGAAGGACACCGGCGAGGAGGTCCTCAAGATCTGCGTGGAGGAGGACGAGGAGGAAGAGGAAGAGGAGGAGGAAGAGGGCGGCCACCGCCCCACCGACGCCCTCCAGATTGTGCTGGAGGAGGACGAGGAGGAAGAGGGGGCACCCAGAGGCACCCACGAGCCCCCCAAGATCTTCTACATCAAGCAAGAGGCGGGCGAGGGCGCCGCCGTTGAGGGCCTCCTGCCTCCAGCGGAGTTGGCGGGGAGCTTCGCGCCGGCGGAGGTGAGCTACGTCATCCCGGCCGGCGCCGGCGGCGTCGGGGGGACGCTGGTGACGAGCGGCGGGGCGGCCATCTTCCCCCAGCCCTCCTGGAAACCGGTGGACCTTCACGGGAACGAGATCCTGGGCCGGGGTCAAGCTCTTCACGCCCCGGTGAAGTTGGGGGCGGCCCCCGACGGCAAACGTTTCGGTTGCCTCTGCGGCAAACGCTTCGCCGTGAAGCCCAAGCGGGACCGGCACATCATGCTGACCTTCAGCCTGAGGCCCTTCGCCTGCGCCGCCTGCCACAAGCGCTTCAAGCTGAAGCACCACCTGAGGGAGCACATGAAGACCCACGACGGGGCCGGCAGGGCCTGCGAGCGCTGCGGCCGCCGCTTCCGCCTGCGCAGCGGCCTGGACAAGCACCGGGCCCTCTGCCAGGGGGCTCGCTGGGGAGGGGGGTGCTGGGCCTGCGACTGAAAGTGGGGGGCACGGGGATGGGGACAAGGGTGAGGGGGCTGGGTCCCACTTCAGGGCTCCGGTCCCAGTTCAGGGCTCTGGTCCCAGTTCACATCTTTGGTCCCAGTTGAAGCTCCAGTCCCAGTTAGGGTCCATTCCCAGTTCAGGGCTCCGGTCCCAGTTCAGGCTATGATCCCAGTTCAGGCTCTGGTCCCAGTTTGGGTCCATTCCCAGTTCAGGGCTCCGGTCCCAGTTCAGGCTATGATCCCAGTTCAGGCTCTGGTCCCAGTTTATGGTCTGATCCCAGTTCAGGGCTCCGATCCCAGTTCAGGCTTCGGTCCCAGTTTAGGGTCTGATGGCAGTTCAGGGCTCTAATCCCAGTTCAGGACTCTGGTCCCAGTTGAAGCTGGTCCGGTCCCACTTTAGGGTCCGGTCCCACTTCAGGGCTCCGGTCCCAGTTCAGGCTCTGGTCCCAGTTTATGGTCTGATCCCAGTTCAGGCTCCAGTCCCAGTTCAGGGTTCTGGTCCCAGTTCAGGCTCTGATCCCAGTTCACATCTTTGGTTCCAGTTGAAGCTCCAGTCCCACTTTAGGGTACGGTCCCAGTTCAGGCTCTGGTCCCAGTTTAGGGTCTGATGGCAGTTCAGGGCGGCTATGATCCCAGTTTTTCCGGTCCCAGTTCAGGCTCTGATCCCAGTTCACATCTTTGGTTCCAGTTGAAGCTCCAGTCCCACTTTAGGGTACGGTCCCAGTTCAGGCTCTGGTCCCAGTTTAGGGTCTGATGGCAGTTCAGGGCTCTAGTCCCAGTTCACATCTCCAGTCCCAGTTGAAGCTCCAGTCCCAGTTCACATCTCTGGTTCCAGTTTGGGCTCCAGTCCCAGTTCAACATCTCTCGTCCCGGTTGAAGCTCCATTCCCAGTTAGGGTCAATTCCCAGTTCAGGGCTCCAGTCCCAGTTCAGGCTATGATCCCAGTTCAGGCTCCAATCGCAGTTCAGGCTTCGGTCCCAGTTTAGGGTCTGATGACAGTTCAGGGCTCCAGTCCCAGTTCAGGACTCTGGTCCCAGTTGAAGCTCCTGTCCCACTTCAGGGTCCGGTCCCAGTTCAGGCTATTATCCCAGTCCAGGGCTCTGGTTTCAGTTTGGGCTATGGTCCCAGTTCAACATCTCTTGTCCCAGTTCAACATCTCTTGTCCCAGTTTAGGGTCCATTCCCAGTTCAGGTTCCGATCCCAGTTCACATCTTTGGTTCCAGATGAAGCTCCAGTCCCACTTAGGGTCCATTCCCAGTTCAGAGCTCTGGTCCCGGTTCAGGGCTCTGATCCCAGTTCAGGGGTCCTGTCCCAGTTCAGGCTCCAGTCCCAGTTTGGGTATGGGTCCCAACTCAAGCTCTGGTCCCAGTCCAGGGCTCTGGTACCAGTTTGGGCTCTGGTCCCAGTTCAACATCTCTTGTCCCACTTGAAGCTCCAGTCCCAGTTAGGGGCCATTCCCAGTTCAGGCTCCGGTCCCAGTTGAAGCTCCAGTCTCAGTTCAGGGCTCCGGTCCCAGCTCAGGGTTCCGATCCCAGTTCAGGCTCCGATCCCAGTTCGGGTATGGGTCTCAACTCAGGCTCCAATCCCAGTTCAGGGCTCTGATCCCAGTTCACATCTCTGGTCCCAGCTGGAGATCCCACTTTAGGGTTTGGTCCCAGCTCAGGGCTCTGGTCCCAGTTGTAGATCCAGTCCCACTTTAGGGTCTGGTCCCAGTTCAGGGTTCTAGTCCCAATTCAGGCTCCAGTCCCAGTTCAGGCTCTGATCCCAGTTTAGAGTTCAGTCCCCGTTCAGGGCTCCGATCCCAGTTCAGACTCTGGTTCCAGTTCAGGCTCTGGTTCCAGTTTGGGCTCCGGTCCCTGTTCAACATCTCTCATCCCAGTTGAAGCTCCAGTCCCAGTTAGGGTCCAGTCCCAGTTCAGGGCTCTGGTCCCAGTTTAGGGTTCCGATCCCAGTTCAGGGCTCCGGTCCCAGTTTGGGTATGGGTCTCAACTCAGGCTCCAATCCCAGTTCAGGCTCCAATCCCAGTTCACATCTCTGGTCCCAGTTGGAGATCCCACTTTAGGGTCTGGTCCCAGTTCAGGGCTCCAGTCCCAGTTCAGGCTCTTATCCCAGTTCAGGCTCCAACCCCAGTTTAGGGTTCAGTCCCAGTTCAGGCCCTCTACTGGTCCGGGTCCAGCCCCCAATTCAGCCCCTTCCCCCCCCAGTTTGGATTCTGCTCCCTCTCCCCCATCTCCCGCCTCCAGTGCAGCACCAGCCAATCAGCGCCCGCAGAGCAGGATCGCGCCGGCCAATGGCGGCTCGCGAGGCGGGCTGGGCGTTGCCATGGGGATGGCGCTGCGGCCCGGTCGCCTTAGAAACTGGGTAACCATGGCAACGGGAGAGGCGCCCCCGGGTCCTCCTGCCCACCCTCCGTGTCCCCACCACCCCTCCTGGGGACACCCCAGTGTCCCCCCAGTGTCCCCAAGTGCCACCCCCCGGCAGGACACGGTGCCACCAGCGATGTCACACCCCCCCGAGCTTTAATGTGCTGAAACGGTGTGAAAAAAGGGGAAAGCTGTAAAAAGAAATAAAAACATTGGGTCAATGGGGAGAACCAATAAGTGACTGGGACAAACTGGGATGGCCCTGCCACCCGGGAGGTGACACGGGGTGACATGGGGGGCCCACCAGTGCCAGACTGGGCCATACTGGGATGGGATTGTCACCTCTGGGGTGATGTGGGGTGCCACCAGTGCCAAACTGGGCCATACTGGGATGGGATTGTCACCTCTGGGGTGACACGGGGGTCCCACCAGTGCCAGACTGGGCCATACTGGGATGGGATTGTCACCTCTGGGGTGATGTGGGGTCCCACCAGTGCCAAACTGGGATCAAACTGTCATCTACAGGGTGACATGGGGTGCCACCAGTGCCAAACTGGGATGGTACTACCATCTACAGGGTGACACAGAGGTCCCACCAGTGCCAAACTGGTCCCCAATTCCTGGACACCCCCTACTGCCACCTCCACCACAGGGGGGTGCCCGCGGGTGGGAGGACACCCCAGTTCCTGCTGCCCCACCAGGGGGTTCTGGGTAGGTCAGGTTTCCATGTCCACGTCCTGGTGGAGGTGACCAACTGGACTAACTGGGATTCCAAGATGGACTAACTGGGACTCCTTGATGATCCATCAAGATTTCCAGGAGGAACCCCCTGGTTGGGTTGGGGTTCTCCATCGCGTGAAGGTTCTGGACCTTCTAGATGTTCTCCACGTCGTCCCCGGTGGTGCCACCTCCCCAGGAACACTCGCTGCCCCCTCCGGGTGAAGACTTCTCCAGGGATGAAGGCTCCAGACCAGGTGGCCCCGTGTCCATCCAGGAGCTCAGCGCCTCCTTGGGAGGGAGGGAGGGATGAAGAAGACCAAGGGCTTGGGTCACACCTGAGTCTTCCCCGTTGTCTTCCTCACCCAACCTCACATCTTCCTCTTCCTCACCCAAACCCTGTCTTCCTCTTCCTCATCCAACCCTACGTCCTCACCCAAACTGTCTTCCTCTTCCCGCTCAGTCCCGCACCTTCCTCTTCCTCACCCAACCCCGGGCCTTCCTCTTCCTCGCCCAACCCCATGTCTTTCTTGCCCAACCTGTCTTCTTCCTCACCCAACCTCACGTCTTCCTCTTCCTCACCCAAACACCATGCCTTTCTCTTCCTCACCCAACCCTACATCTTCCTCACCCAGCCCCACGCCTTCCTCTTCCTCGCCCAACCCCATGTCTTCCTTGCCCAACCTGTCTTCCTCTTCCTCACCCAACCCCACATCTTCCTCTTCCTCACCCAACCCCGTGTCCTCCTCTTCCTCCCCCAAACCCCGTATCTTCCTCTTCCCAGCCCTGCACCTTCCTCTTCCTCACCCAGTGTCTTCCTCTTCCCTGCCAGCCCTGTGCCTTCCTCTTCCTCATCCACCCCTACGTCTTCCTCCTCCTCACCCAAACCCCATGTCTTCCTCACCCACCCCCACGTCTTCCTCCTCCTCACCCAACCCTATGTCCTCACCCAAACCCCATATCTTCCTCTTCCTCTCCCAACTCATCGACCGTACCCCTCACTGCTCCAGGACACGCAGTGTCTTCTCCTTTCCCCTTCTCAAACCTACATGAAACTCATCATTTGCCAAATTCCTGCCAAATATTACCCTGGAAAGTGACACGTGGGTCACACCAGTGCCAAACTGGGCCAAACTGGTCCCCTTCCCACTGGCTGGGGCGGTGGGGGGTGACTCACCTGGATGGCCGGGTCCACAGTGGGGTCAGGGGGGGTCCCTGCTGTCCCCATCGTCCCCGAGGATGGCGGCGCCCAGGGCCTGTAGCTGCATCACGAGGGACCCCAACGCCTCTGGGGGGGGGACATGGGGGACATTTAGGGCTGGGGGGACACGGGGGACATTTAGGGCTGAGGGGGAACATTGGGGAAGGCACTGGGGACATTGGGGGGCACCCAAGGGTGTCATGGGACATAGAGGGGGACAATGGGGGGACACGAGGACACCCACAGATGCCACACGTGTTGGACCTACCTCTGCTGGGGGGGTGCCCCATCCTGTCCTCACAGGAAGTGACCTGGGGGTGACACAAAGGGTGACATGGGGACAGCAGCCACCCCTGTCCCCGAGTGCCCCTCCACCCAGCCCGGAGTCCCCCCTTATCACCTCCTCCCTGTGTCCCCTCTTGTCACCCCTTCCTTGTGCCACCTCCCCATGGCTCCAGGTGCCCCACGTCCCTTCCCTGTGTCCCCAGCATCCCCACCCATGTCCCCAACCCCCCTCACCTCGTCCCATGTCACCTCGTCCTTTGTCACCGGGCTGTGTGTCACCTCCTCAGCCACCCCCGAGGCCACCACTGCAGGGACAGGGACAGTTCGCGGTGGGGACAAGGCACCCACAGGGGCACAGGGTGGACACTGGGTCCCCATTGTGTCCCCAGTGTCCCCTGGTGGCTCCTTCTGTCCCCTCCCTGGTGTCCT